TTGGTTACTCTCCTCTGCCCCCCCACCAACCCCCCCCCACCCCCCACCAGGAGGATAGTCACTTGCCCGACAAGCGTGGGTTTGAGTCCTCACTGGGTAGATGTTAGGTACCAGAAACTCCCTGCCAGCTTCCTGGTGGAACACAGCTCAGACACACATATCTTCCCGTCGAGCCATGGTTCCACCGGTCGGAGGTAAGGAGCTGGAACAGTATCGGCTCACCAATCAAGGCGGGGATCGGCAACTGGTGCCGAGTAAGCCTGGTACGTGGCATTGGACTGGGGCCTTGAGAAGGTCCTCCCACCACGCTTTGAGCGTGGTGGGAGGACCTTCTCAAGGTCCCAGTCCAATGCCACGTACCAGGCTTACTCGGCACCAGTTGCTGATCCAGGTCCTCGTGTGAGTGGCCTCAGCGAACAGACACGCCCGTGTGAAGGCAACCCCTCAACGTCCAGGGTCTGTCGCTCCTCTCTCGTGTACTCTCTCCCGCGCTCTCTCACGGTCTTGTCTCTCGCTCTCCCTCTCTCACAGGGTGGAGCTCACAAGATCCTTGACCAGTGCACACTGCCGCTGACGGGAAAGAAATGTGTGGACCGTATCATCACAGAGAAGGTCAGTGTCTGTGCGCGCGCGTGTGTGCGTGCGTGCGTGTGTGTAGTTGCGTGTGTGTAGTTGCGTGTGTGTGATTGTGTGTGGATATGCGCGTGTGAGATTGCGTGTGTGAGATTATGTGTGTATGTGATTGCGTATGTGTGCATGTGTGATTGCGGGTGCGCTTGTATGTGATTGCGCGTGTGTGTGATTGCATGTGTGTGATTGCGTGTGTGTGATTCGGTATGTGTGTGATTGTGTGTGTGACTGAGTGTGGCTGTGTGCGTGTGGTTGCATGTGTGTGTGTGCGCGTGTGTGTGATTGCGTCTGTGTGTGCGTGCGTGTGTGTGCGTGATTGCGAGTGTGTAATTGTGTGCACGTGTGTGTGATTGCGAGTGTGTAATTGTTTGCACGCGTGTGTGTGTGTGTGTGTGTGTGTGTGTGGGCCGCCCTCTCACTACTCTGTGTTCTCCCACAGGCTGTGTTTGACGTTGTGGAGAATGAGGGTCTGTGTCTGATTGAGATTGCTGACGGACTGTCAGTCACCGACATCCAGAACTGTACCGGCTGTCAGTTCACCGTGAGTCTGAGCTCGGTCACATCACCCCTCCTCTCCCCCACTTCATCACCCCCCCCCCCCCCAGCCTCCCAAACCCCTCCCCCCACCTCGTCACACCCACCCCCCACCTCGTCACCCCCTCTCCTTTATTCTGTCTCTAACCCTGACCTGGGAGTGTGGACACACAGTGTAGAGGAGCGTTACTGTGTCTGTAACCCTGACCTGGGAGTGTGGACGCACAGTGTAGAGGAGTGTTACTGTCTCTAACCCTGACCTGGGAGTGTGGACACACAGTGTAGAGGAGCGTTACTGTGTCTCTAACCCTGACCTGGGAGTGTGGACACACAGTGTAGAGGAGCGTTACTGTCTCTAACCCTGACCTGGGAGTGTGGACACACAGTGTAGAGGGCGTTACTGTGTCTCTAACCTATGACATTATCTGTGTTGATGGGTGAGGTGTGTGCACTGACACATGTTGTCTTTCTCCCCCTCCCTACCTGCCCGTACCCTCCGTTCCTCTGGCTCCGGTCTGCTCCACATCCCCCGCCCCAACCGCCCGACCATCGGTGGCCTTCAGCCTCTCAGCCCCGAGACTCTGGAACTCTATCCCCAGTGCCTTCGCCGCCTCCTCCCTTTCCTCCTTCAAGGCCGGTCTCAAGGCCTTTCTCTTTGACTGTGTCTTCAGCTCCCCTCTCGACTCTCTACCCCCTCCTCACTCCCTCCCTTCCCTCCCCTCTCGACCCTCTACCCCCTCCTCGCTCCCTCCTTTCCCTCCCCTCACCCTGACCATTTCCCCCCTCCTCGCTCCCTCCCTCCCCTCCCCTCATCCTGACCATTCCCCCCCAATGCTCGGGTCCTGACTCAACTGTCCAGCGCTTTGGCACGTCCTCCCAACATGAAAGGCGCTCTATAAATGGAATCTTGTTGTTGTTGTTGTCTGTAACCCTGACCTGGGAGTGTGGACACACAGTGTAGAGGAGCGTTACTGTGTTCTAACCTGACTGGAGTGTGGACGCACAGTGTAGAGGGAACGTTACTGTGTCTGTAACCTATGACATTGTCTGTGTTGATGGGTGAGGTGTGTGCACTGACACATGTTGTCTTTTTCCCCCTTTGACTGACAAGTTGTCCTGTGTGATTGACAGGTGTCACCGAGCCTGGGGCCGATTCAGCAAGTCTAGCAGGCCTGCGAGGCGAGGTTGGGGGGTGTGGGGGCAGTGAGCCCCACAGCCCTCCCAGCGAGGACAAGGAAGCCAACAGCCTCCACTGCTGACCCGACCAGCGACTGACTAACAGACTGACGCACATTCTTATTTAAGTTGATCGAGGAATTAAAAAGGGACTTTTTTAGTGTATTTACCGTTTGCCGTGCGTGAGGGGTGGGGGGTTTGTCACTGTGACCCCGACATCTGCAGACCTGGGGTGTGGGGGGGTGGGTGGGAGAGAGGGGGCGAAACAACCGAAAATAAGCCGTCAAATTCCACCCGCTCACAGCCTGAGCCACCATTATTACTCCTAAGATGTCAGTCAGGATCTGTCCCCACCCCCACCTGAGCCCCTCCCCACTTGAGCCCCTCCCTCACCCGAGCCCCTCCCCCACCTGAGCCCCTCCCCCACCTGAGCCCCTCCCCCACCTGAGCCCCTCCCCACCTGAGCCCCTCCCCCACCTGAGCCCCTCCCCCACCTGAGCCCCTCCCCAAGCTGACTCAAAGGGCAGGTATCAGGATGTATTGAGCCCCTCCCCCCCCCGCCCCTCCCCACCGAGTTACTGACGTTTGACTTAGGTTAGCAAAACTAAACAGGAATAAAGCCAGGCTGTGTGTGTGTATACATGTGTGTGCTGTATGGGGGCTGTGTGTGTGTATACATGTGTGTGCTGTATGGGGGCTGTGTGTGTGTATACATGTGTGTGCTGTATGGGGGCTGTGTGTGTGTATACATGTGTGTGCTGTATGGGGGCTGTGTGTGTGTATACATGTGTGTGCTGTATGGGGGCTGTGTGTGTGTATACATGTGTGTGCTGTATGGGGGCTGTGTGTGTGTATACATGTGTGTGCTGTATGGGGGCTGTGTGTGTGTATACATGTGGTGCTGTATGGGGGCTGTGTGTGTGTATACATGTGTGTGCTGTATGGGGGCTGTGTGTGTGTATACATGTGTGTGCTGTATGGGGGCTGTGTGTGTGTATACATGTGTGTGCTGTATGGGGGCTGTGTGTGTGTATACATGTGTGTGCTGTATGGGGGCTGTGTGTGTGTATACATGTGTGTGCTGTATGGGGGCTGTGTGTGTGTATACATGTGTGTGCTGTATGGGGGCTGTGTGTGTGTATACATGTGTGTGCTGTATGGGGGCTGTGTGTGTGTATACATGTGTGTGCTGTATGGGGGCTGTGTGTGTGTATACATGTGTGTGCTGTATGGGGGCTGTGTGTGTGTATACATGTGTGTGCTGTATGGGGCTGTGTGTGTGTATACATGTGTGTGCTGTATGGGGGCTGTGTGTGTGTATACATGTGTGTGCTGTATGGGGCTGTGTGTGTGTATACATGTGTGTGCTGTATGGGGGCTGTGTGTGTGTATACATGTGTGTGCTGTATGGGGGCTGTGTGTGTGTATACATGTGTGTGCTGTATGGGGGCTGTGTGTGTGTATACATGTGTGTGCTGTATGGGGGCTGTGTGTGTGTATACATGTGTGTGCTGTATGGGGGCTGTGTGTGTGTATACATGTGTGTGCTGTATGGGGGCTGTGTGTGTGTATACATGTGTGTGCTGTATGGGGGCTGTGTGTGTGTATACATGTGTGTGCTGTATGGGGCTGTGTGTGTGTATACATGTGTGTGCTGTATGGGGCTGTGTGTGTTACATGTGTGTGCTGTATGGGGGCTGTGTGTGCGTATACATGTGTGTGCTGTATGGGGGCTGTGTGTGCGTATACATGTGTGTGCTGTATGGGGGCTGTGTGTGCGTATACATGTGTGTGCTGTATGGGGGCTGTGTGTGCGTATACATGTGTGTGCTGTATGGGGGCTGTGTGTATCCCATGTGTGCTGTGTGCGTGCGTATGCTGGCTGTGTGTATCATGTGTGCTGTATGTTAGCTGCGTGTCTGTTCCGGTCACTGGGTCGCCCCCGCTCCCACACAGTCACGGAACACGTGTGTAACGAGATGCACCGCCTACATAGCTCAACTGATCACTGCCACACACACACTTTGAATACTGTATATTTTTTGAAGCGAGTTCGGCTATTTTGAAGAAAAACCAGTGTACAGTGCAGTGAGTGTGACCTGGAATAAAGCTGAGTGACACTGCTGGAGTGAGCTGGACTTTATCACAGGAGCTGCACACAACAGCTCCCACTACGAGGCCCCTCTCCACTCCGCAGGACAGAGAGAGCGAGAGAGTCTTTCATGGAGTCCTGTAGCTCAGGGGTTAGAGCCCTCGTCTCGCAAGCGAGAGGACCCGGGTTTGATTCCTGGGCGGCGCCACATGTATGTGTCAAATGCAAGGATTATTATTATTATTGTTCATGTCCCTGAGCCGGGGGGGGGGCGGTGGGGGTGGGGGCAGCAATTGGCTGCCGTGTTTCACCCACGTAACACAGTCTATCCACTGTACAACAACAGCAACTCACATTTACACAGCGCTCTTCACGTGGGGTAGGGTCCCGGAGTCTTGACAGTGGCGGAGTCTGACCCCGAGCCAGGGGGAGAGGGAGGGGGAGGTGACCGTCAGCACGATCAAAAAGGAAAGTCTTTAGGCGGGAGTTGAAGGTGGGGAGGGATGGGGCAAGGCGGAGGGATTGAGGGAGAGAGTTCCAGAGCTTCGGGGAGTAGTGGCTGAAGGCGCGGCCACTGATGGTGGAGCGGAGGGGACGAGGGACAAACAGGAGGCTGTATCCAGCTGAGCAAAGGCCGCGGGTGGGGCAGTGGGTATGGCTTCCATCTTGCCGACATTCAGCTGCAGGAAATTTGTGCTCATCCAGGCCTGATGTCCGTCAAACAAACGGACAGGACATCAGTGGACTGACTGAGAGTCGCAGCTACAGTAGATTTGTGTTGTCAGTATACATGTGGAAGTTTACTCCATGTCTCCGGATGACATCACCGAGAGGGAACATATAGATGAGGAAAAGAAGGGGACTAAGGAAAGAGCCTTGGGGTAGCCCACAGGTGACCGGGTGGGGGCCGGAGGAGTAACCGTTTGCCAAGGTGTATTGCTGGTGGTTAGTCAAGTAGGACTCGAACCATGTGCGGTCCTACTAAAGTGGATGAGGGAGGAAGAGGCGGTGGAGGAGAATGGTGTTATCGACTGTGTTGAACGCAGCGAAGACGTTGAGGAGAACGAGGAGGCAGAGGGAGCCCTGGTCACAGAGAGAGAGAGAGAGAGAGAGGACGTCACTTGTTACTTTGATGAGTGCTGTCTCTGTGCTGTGGGCTGGAGGGGCTCGAGGAGGGAGTGGAGGGAGAGGTGTGAACAAAGTTGATTTGCAACCACACATTCCAGGTTTAAGATGGGATGGGATGGGAGTCACAGAGTTGAAGTGATTGAGAGAAGGTTTTTAAGGAGTGATGACTTTACAGTGTATCCTGTGAAGTGCTTTGAGATGTCTCAAAGATGTGATAGGATTATTATTATAGACCTCCCTCTTGGGAGTTTCTGGAGCTGAACTGGCTCCAAGGTGATATGTTTGGCAATGAAATGTCAGAATTGAACCAGCCCTGAGTGACAGTCTCCAGTCACAGTATCCCAGGGCTCTCACTGCTGATGGCAGCACAGCCCGGCCCGGCCCGGCTCAGCGGCAGGACCTGGAAGGGCCGACCAGTCACCGGGGGCCGGGAATCCTCCCCCTCAGCTCCTGGTAACCCCACAGCCAAAGCCCTAACTAACGGGAGGGGGTCCTCGCTGGTCAAGCAGCGGGAAAGCTGCCAGACAGTGATCTCAATGGCCGAGCTGTGGTTTAGTGGTACACTCCAGCAGTTACCCCAACACACACTCTGGGGCCCCCCAGGCTTGATCTCACCACCTGCGCCTAATACTCTCCGATTAGGTAAACGGACGTGTCCTCCAGAGAGAGAGAGGAGAGCGCATTCCATCTCTGGGATGCATGGAATTCTCAAGTTGGTTTGGAGACTCTTTACACAACAACAACTTGGATTTATATAGTGCCCTCCATTCCGATTGACGTCTCTTAAGCAACGGTGCTGTGTTTGTGTGTGTGTCAGACACCCGACTGGTCACGGTGATGGGTTTGTGTGTGTGTCAGACACCCGACTGGTCACGGTGCCGGGTTTGTGTGTGTGTCAGACACCCGGCTGGTCACGGTGACGGGTTTGTGTGTGTGTCAGACACCCGGCTGGTCACGGTGGTGGGTGTGTGTGTGTGACAGACACCCGGCTGGTCACGGTGATGGGTCTGTGTGTGTGTCAGACACCCGGCTGGTCACGGTGGTGGGTTTGTGTGTGTGACAGACACCCGGCTGGTCACGGTGGTGGGTTTGTGTGTGTGACAGACACCCGGCTGGTCACGGTGATGGGTTTGTGTGCGTCTGATTTTCTTTCTATTTACCAGAAACTAACATTGCATTGAGAGTGAGCAGATGGTTGTAATGTCCTCGGGCTCAGACACACACACACAGCATCACCTCATCACGTCATCACAGCACACACCTGTCTGTGGAACCTAATCCCATTTTCCTTGTTCCCAACCCCCACCCCCCAATTGTGTCTGTGCTGGGGCTCATTCCCCCACTGAAGCTCTCTAACCCCATTCCCTGCTCTCTCTCTCCCCCCATCGTGTCTCACTCCCTGCAGTGCCTCACCAGCTCTCTGAGCAGACCTCCCGATGTGAGTATAATGTGAATTGTAGAGTATTGATTTGCTGGGGTTTTGCTGGGAGAGTCTGGGGGGATATTGATTAAGGATTCAATGTTTCAGCAACAGCCGCGGCTACAGAAATACGACACGGCATTGTCCTCCAACTCAGCCTGTCCCACACCTACAAGAGAGAGAGTGAGAGTGTGTGAGAGAGAAACGAGAGAGAGAGAGAAACTTAGCTGAGAAAGAGAGTGCGTGAGTGAGAAAGGGAGAGGCAGAGTGAGAGACAGAGAGGGAGTGAGATACAGAGAGTATAAAGCTGGTATTTGATACAGCGCATTTCTATCACTGAGACATCTTGAAAGACTTCTCAGGTTTTACAGTAAGTGAAGCCTTCCCAACTCCTCCCTCCACCGGCTGCAGATAATCCAGAACTCTGCCGCCCGTGTCCTCTCCCGCACCAAACTCCGTGACCCCATTTCCCCCACTCTCACCCGACTCCATTGGCTCTCTATCCTCCAGAGGATCCAGTTCAAG